GGCAGCCTGATCGATCTGGTCAGATGTGGACTAGGTTTCAGACAGAGAGTGCCCCAACTGTTGCTCTCAACGTTTGTCTAGGATTCAATTAAGACCAAAGTCGATGAGAGATTTGATCTACCCGTCACTATGGCAACAGCCCCGTCATCTCATGTTCCATTACTGTTCAATTTGAGCAACACAACAGAACAGAACTCTTGGTCCACTCGAGTGTCCATGGTCGCGTTTGCATACAGTGATTGCTTTGACTTAAAAAAAAAGGCCTGATAAGTGACATGTGGAGACATGGAGACAGAGAGACAGGCCAGGCTGTGTTGATGACGTACAGCAGCGGAGACGCTGAGCTGACCTCTGACACCACAGAAGACTTGAATCTCTAATCAGACATGACATCAGTCCAAACGCAGCTCAGTACACAGTACAGGAAATACAGCAGGGGAGAGGACAGTACTTTTAGACGTCTTAAAAACACACTTACACATTGTCCACTGTACTACTACTGCTAGGTACTGGATCCAAAACTTTTATCACTCCTATTAATTCTACTGTACTCAGACTAATCTTTGCCTTCACTGCAACTTTTCTCGCTACTTTTTTCACCACTACAACATTTACTTTTTTCTTCTACTGCTTAATCATCGTTTTCAAACTAACAGTACTTTTGTTACAACGGATACTTCTTCATTGCTACTTGTACTTCTACTACACTTCAAGTTGCCCCGACTGTACCATTTAAAGCCGTAACTATAAAGGTGCTAAAAATATACACAGGTGACCAATAATATATGACTTCACCCAAAGCTAAGGTTGATGGTTTCTGGTTTTCTTTCTTCAAATGTGTAATTTCATGTTGAATTATTCTCCCCTGTCTGTCTTAATAAGCCCACACTTTAGAGGGCAAGTGTGAATCAGGGAAAAAGCCACTAATCTTTCCGCAATCAGCTTTCTAATTAGCACGGAAAATGATGTATTCAGACCTGTAATCAGCTTTAACAGTTTCATCCCAGTCATTAATATGGATATTGCAATTTCCTGCGAGTGGGTATCAAAGAGGAGGAGGAGGAGGAGGAGCGGTGAGGAGAGGATGGGAGGGTCAAAAGGCAGATGGACATTAAGATAAGACGGGAGCAGAGTCATTCCGCTGACATTCCTTGGTCTGCTGTTTTTGTCTGCCAACTTTAATCTTAGCCCATGGTGACTGTCAGACCAGATCAGTGCCTCTCTAATAACCTTGCTCAGACTTTAACCATTCCATTTTCCAGAAGGCACGTTCAGCCTGTCAAGACGAATCCTCTGATCGCAGTTTTATTTTAATTCTCCCCCTAAATGGACCTTTAATGTCAGATAAAATGAGCATTTTGGTCCCTGAAAAAATAAAAAGTAATTCATCCAAAGATTACGTCATTCAGGCCAAATGTAATTTGGAAGCTGAGGAAACGAGGACTTTGAGATGGACGAGACAGGAACACACACACACACACACACAGATAGACTTTAGATGATAAATGGAAAATCAGAGGGCATTGAAAGGATATGGGTGAGGGCATGATCCTGGTTTAGTATGGCCGTTTGCAATTCATCTTCCAACATCATTAGCCTGTCACTGATGAGTTCACATCGCTCTGTCAGGTCTGCATCCTCAGCCTCGCTGCATCCATCCTGGCAGTAATGACAAACAAGGGAGAGAATTATGGGTGACTAAAAAAAGTGGAACAGCTAACAGAAATGTGTAAAATTCAAGTTTTTCTCCTGGGGATCAATCCATTTTTTAATCACACAATTTGTAAATTAGTGAAGAAAGGGAATCTATGTCGCCTGGAAAAATAGTAAACAAACAGTAAAAATCAATATTACCTGTAAATGTTGCACATAAAGAGAAAAAAATCAAACGACTCTGTGAGAGATGAAAGGATCGGGGTTGAACTAAAATTTAGGGCCAGATTTATAAAATAATAATAGTAATAATTAAAAACTCTTACTTATTACTTTATACAAAAAAAAATAACTACAGTGGGCAGATCCTGGCTTAGCTTCAAGGCATGAATATTACTGCAGACAGGTGATGTGCTCTTGTGATATTTGATTCTGGCATATGTGTGTGCAAATGAAAGTGTGCCTTTATTACTGTATAGTTCACCAACGCCAAGTCTGAGTAGACTGTCAGAAAGTAAAGTAATAACCTCATCTTTATGAACTGATGTTAGCTGGAAGTGCTGCAGTATATATACTGTATATATATGTATATAGATATATAATCATACTGTGTTATTCACATTAATAATGAAAAAACAGTTCTCAAATGAAAATAATGAGTTAGCAGCACAGTTTTTTTGTTTGTCAGTCCCTATGGAATAATGTTTTTTTGTGAGCTGACATAGAAACTAATTTGAAATCACAGCTGGACAAAAAGCTTCGACAGTGGCAGTTCAGGATTTGAGTTTTACCGAGTACTGGGCTTGTGAACTGGATTTTAGCAGACAATATGTTCAAAGTCGTCCCCAGGGCTACATCGGCATGCAGCCGAAGAAAAACGTCATGTATTTGATCGCAGTAACACACCAAACCACCGTGAGCAGTGCAGCTGCAGATCACCTGAGGATGCTGCCGGGCTGACTGTGTTACTTGGAGATCGGTGCAGGAGCAGAGAGCAGTACAGCTTTCATAGAACAGAGCTGGCCATAATTAGAACAGGCCCCTTTGCAGACGGTGTGTCCTACTTTCTTCACACTTGTCAGGCATAGGACACGCGCACACACACACACACAAAGTGCACACACCAGGCAAATAGACACACTAAGAAGCACACACACCCTGCGCTCTAGTCACACAACACATAGAGAGAGTCCAATCTGAGTCATAGCTGCAGGTAGGAAATATCAACTCCCTGTAGCTCAGAGGTGTCAGAACAATCACAGGGAAGGGTCCGTGGTCAGTCCAGGGAATAGTCGTTCGCCTCCAGGTGACGTAACACTGAAAAAGGAAATGCACAGCGAGGCAGCAGGCCTGAGGTGGGACTCTGTGTACAAGTCGTCCCAAATGCAATTTAGGAATTAAGTGGGTCTCAGTGACAGGGCGTGCAAGATTTGTTTTTGTCTCTGAGGCTCTTATGAACAGAGCAGCACTATCATCAGACCGCGGTCAGGTGTCATCTTCTCTGATCCCCGTCTGCCCGCACAAAGGAGAAAGAGAGTCAATTTAAAGATTCACTGAGCCGTTTGTTTGTCAAGGTCTTCAGAAGATAAAAGCTTTGTGTTTGTCCAGCTGATTGATTCTATACGTCGCAGCCTGCAGTCAGCTTCAGTAAAGTCAATACAGGTACTCAAGTTGAGAAAAAGAAAACAATCACTGTGAGAAATGACACTGTGGAAAACAGGCCTGGCAGTTTGTTAACAACCTGGTACACAAGGCTTTTAAAATGCTGCTAAAAAAAGAAGAAGAAGCAGAAGAAGAAAGCTTTTCCTTCACTGTTGGTGTTGATCAAAACAACATGAATGACTCCTCTGCTGCGTACGTCAAGAAAACACAGGAAATAAGATTTAAACAACGTGTCACAGGTTTTTTCTTAATCGGAGACAAAAGAGAAATTGTGATTTTTCTGACATTTTTCCTCTTCCTGCTCCTTTAAGAAGTCGCTGGAGTAAATTACTGCCACCCTCTCAGCGCTCGTCAACAACCATCCTTATTTTCTTCACCATTTACTCTTCCTATGAACTTCCACTGCTTCTACTAGTGCTGTTTGGGCCGACTCTAGTGTGCTGTGTGCCCCACTGCTTGTCATAAGTGTACCACTGCTGTAACGCTTGAATGATAACAAGCCTCCAGTCACTAGGTGGCAGCAACTCATACAGTGGTTTGTACAGATAAATATATACGTTATCAGGTTGTCAATAGTATTTCAGTTCGCGGGGGTTTGGGTCGTGGGGGCGTAGAAACATTTCTGTCCCCAAGGGGGAGCATGAAAGTCATTGAGAACCACTGCTCTATAGAAATACTATAGTGTTTGATTCTACAGTTAAAGCAGGTTATAATGAAACAGGGGACACACACACTTTTCACTTTTCCTTCTTCAATCAAAAGTAGTGCTAAACTTGAACATTAAAAGTCGCCTTATGACATAATAAAGAGCTAAAGGTCTAAAAGCAGGTATTCAAATTGCACATTAAAGAAGTTTTTATCATTCAACATCTACAGTGGTTAATGGTTAAAATAAAAATGTTGAATGGTATGGTTTTTATAGGCTGGATCATTTGATTTTACACTACGGTGATTATCCCTTTATACTGAGTGTCCAGTGTATTGTGTGTGAGTGGTGTAATGCTACCACAGCATCTCATTAGCATTAGCACTAGCACAGGTGAGCTAAAGTGAACTGTTCCGAGTCAGGGAGCAGCGTTAAACGCTCAGACTCTTAATGACCAAGTTAAGTGTCGGTGTCCAAGTTGAACAACTGGTCACAGTGTTGGTCAAATACGGCTTCACATTTAGTGAAGGCCACAGTGAGCGACATGTTAGCATGTGTGTTAATGAAGCTTTTACACAGACATGAGTGTGTATTAGCAACACAGCTAGTTTGTCTTTGTGCTAAATCTCAAATAACCTCCACTACACTATGTTTTGTTATTCTTGCCAGGGAAAGTTGATTTACAATAAATTATTAATTTTCTAGTTTATACCGTATTTTATATCTACCTAAATTCAGATATTATTGGCTTGTATTTATTTACACTAATGCAGCATTACTGTATATTCAAATACAGAGACATTCCCAGTTGAATACTCCCTAATTAACATGTACACTAGCAGCTATTACATCACTAAGACATTGGCCTTTGTCATCCAGCCGTGTGAACATTTACATGTGATTTAAATCACGGAGATACTACCAGAAGAAAAAGCGACTCAGCAAACTTCTAGCCTCGACTGCAGGCTGTAAAGAAGGATTGTGCTAACTCAGATAGGCTACAAGAAAAGGTTTAGATCAGTATTGATCAGACTGTCAAAGGAGACACCGTGTGACCTAAGGCTAATTAATAGATTCTCCTGTGTGGCGGTCAATCCCCCGTCGGAGCGCTGTTTACACTGCAAACAACCAGTGGTGCTGTGTGTGTTAGCAGAACCTACCTCTGGGTGATTATCCTCCATACAGAACAGGAACTCCTCCAATTTCTGCAACAAAAGACAAAACATATGTTAATGCGAAACAGTCAGAAAAAGTCCTCATGAATAATTGAGGCTTCAATTAGTCTGTGTACTGTGTACTGCATGTGTGTTGCATCTTCGCAATGAGACGAGGTCGTAATTATTCTCCACCAAGACTGACAGGTAGAAAATGGATTAACAGTCTCATCTGCTCCGCAGGTTTCTTTGTTACAGCACAAAGTATATAATTGTACATTCTTCACTGGGGATAGAGGTAATTACTGCACCTCCGGGAGGTAAGCAGTGTTTGTGGCTTTGGGGTAAGTACATGAGGAAGCAGGGTAACAATAAATAAAAATCAACAACACTGTAATTATTTTTTTTCTTTCTCATTAAAAAAAACAATAAACGTCATTTTTTTATTGTTCACTGTTGGTCATTTAATTTTTATCTATACCTCATAGGAATAATTGTTTTTTTGACCAGTCACACAACGGCCTAAACTTAAGTTTTTACACCAGACGAAGATTCACTTCCATTTTTTTCTTTCTGCACACCATAGTTCTGTTTGATGGACCTCATCCTGATTAGAAACATCCCTGCAGTAGGTTAGAAGGTCAGACTGGTTCGATCCCTGGACTTTCTGCAAGGAGTTTGCATGTTCTCTCCGTGTGTTTTCTCCAAAATACCTTGGTCCAGATTAAGGGTTAGTTTGATGTTGGACGCTCAGGTACGATGGTGGTTTTGAATGCTCCTGTGTCTGTATGTGTGGGGTGCACTCTGCACCCGCCTCACCCACAACCCTGCAAAGGATTAAACCTGAGAAAATGGATAATGGATGGATGTTCATAAAAACTGTGGTGAGCAGCAGAGTAATAGAAGTAATAAACTGTGGAACTCACTGTCAGAATGGAAGCGCTCAGTTATTAAGGAATATATATGCAGATTCATATTGCCCTGCTCTGCACATACACCTGATCTTTGGCATACCGACAGAGAGCAGAGAGCAGCCAAAACTGTTTTTGTGAAATATGAATACGTAGTTGGTTTAACTTGAACCTCATGGACGGAACGTACATTAAGAAAACACAAAATCTCCAGAGGCTCCAGAATTCAAAGTCTGAATGCTGGACTTTGCTAAAAAAAAAAAATCAACACAATCATTTCTACATATGGAGTTAAAATCAGAAACCTGCACATTTTTAACCAAAGGTCAAAAATTATTTTTCAGCTGAAATATAAAGCTACTAACAATATGACCTAATCACTTGATTAGGTGCCTTTTTAGAACCTGGTGCTTTTAATTATCCCCTAATGTGTCCTAATGAAGGCTATTGTGCTAAAACAGTTAGGTTTTCAATCTCTAAGATATTCGAGACAATTTTCTCATTTTTCTTCAGCAGGCTTTTTTTTTTAAACAACCCCTTATTTTTACAGACCTTCTTTTGAGATTATAAGTACAGTCATTATTGTGATTTCTGAAAAGGCTCTGCTCCTTCCACTGATGAGCACCTAGGTCTCTGGTCATTTTGCGACCCAGGCTAGCACTTTGTTTTGAATTTGACTTTTTTCATTACCTAACCAATTCTTCATTTTAACAGAGGCTTTAAAAAAGAAAAAGAAAAAAACAAGCTGGTCTTTTCTATAGGAAAAAAACTACGAATAAATTACACAAAAAAACTTTTAAAATGTTGAGCCTTCTAAAAAGACATTTTCTAGCAGATACAGAATTTAACAATCATTCAATGTTTTTTTTTTTTTTTTGGCAAAATCTACAGTTAAAAAGCAAAACAAGGGGTTAGGGTTAATACAACTGAGAGGGGAATAAAAGACAAAGGGATGACTGCCTCACCTTTTAGTTGTTAGGAGGGGCCGAGCTTTAGGAGCATAGAGAGGGAAGCAGAAGAGAAACAAAGGCAGGGAGAAAACAGATCCATGCAGTTTGTAGAATTTGTAGATTTCAGACAAGGCAGAATAAATCAATACAAAGACTATATTTACGGACAAACACAGGAAAATGGCGGTTAAAACAAAAGGGAACAACCGAGCATGTCAATAAAAACTCACAGCCTCTAACTGGAATGTATTTACAGGGAAGAGCATCCGTTAAAACCGTCTCCCAAACATCTGCTACTGGCTACAGTCCAATCAAAGTAAATAAACCAAGGCATCAGCTGTCGTTGGAGATTCTAGGTTAAAATCACAATCTGGGACAGACCTACCCAAATATAGACCCGCATAAAAAAACACACATTTATGACATGTGTGCTGTTTTATTTTTTATTAATGCCGGCTCTGTTGGCTTTGTTCCGATCTTAGGCGAGTATGTCAGACGATGTGGGCGGAGAAAAGTGTCAGGAAAGAGAATAAAAGTCCGACTCGGCCCCGAGGCAGTAGACCTCAACTCAGTGTGAGCACACACACTTTCCCACATTCCCTCTAAGTGCATGCAATCAGGCAGAAACACAGTCTTAAATCTGCACTCTGTAAAATGAAACTCTTAAAGGAAGCCAAACTGTTTCCAAATGGTTGACTCTCCTCACGCCCACATTTCCCTTGGTTTTAGAAATGCCTCCCAGCCAACGTGCTAACAGACGGCTGCTCATCTCGCCCTAATCCACACCCTTTCTATACTACAATAACAGCTGATAATATATTATCTTCATTTACGTGCTAGCCCTGATAAAGCTGGCAGACATTACCCGAGGTCACATCTTAACTATCCAGGGAAAGAACAAAAATAAAACCCAGAGAATATTAAAACAGGCTGTTGTTGGTTGACCTTTTGTAACGCTAACTTGACTCCTGCTATTGAAAAGCTTCAATCTTTGATGTTCATGGTCTCAGAGGTTCTCCAACAACAAATAACAATTATTCCTGCACCAATTAGTCATGCATGTTACCTTTGTGAACTCCGAGTTCTGTAGGTTGGCATCAGGGCACCAGCGACCTCCTAAGGCCGTCAGCATAGCACAGTCTTCCTCCTCTTCTTTGGTGGATGGCTGAGCTGGAGGTGCAGCAGCAGGGCGAGGAAGAGGAGGAGGCAGGTCATCCACCTCGGCTCCCCCGCAGCTGGGGGTCCGCAGCTGGAGCCCTCGTAAGAAAAGGTGACAGGCTTCCAGGTCAGCTTCCCAGATCCGCTCCAAACCCGGACAACCGAAACTGCAGGAAAAGACAGGTGTGAAGATAGTGTCCAGTGAAGTAATACTGAATAAATATATTTAATCTATAATTGTAAAAACACATAATATAATGTAAACTAAAGTAAAAATGAATATATTAAGCAGTAGTTTTGTGAAGACTCTCAACATTAAAGCATGGAAAATAACTGTTTTGTGTGGGAGTAACTGGAGAAAAGTTAACTTCACTCTTTACACTGGTATTAAAGTTTAACATGTATATTTAAAGGGCATTTTTTCCATGACCTTTTTGTGAATCTGTAATGAAGTGTTACATATATTTATTTATTAAGTATGAAAATGCTCTTTATAACACCACTGTATAATATAAGTTATAAATAAAAGTATGTTTTTGAATAAAATATATAAATAAGTTAAATACGTGTAATCAGTGCTAATGCTGAGCTGAGATGCTCATGGCTACGATGAAAACCTTTTACTGAAGGTTGGAATTTTGAGGGTGTCAAGTCAAATGTCAATGTCAAAACCTGTGTCAGTAGGATGTATTATCCCTGAGGGTAAATGTGTTTAACAGCCAGCAGAGAATAAATCATTCTAAATAAACAGAAGAACACACACACACACACACACACACACACACACACACACACACACACACACACACACACACACACACACACACACACACACACACACACACACACACACAGCAGCAGCACTTACAGCACTTACAGCATTGACATTTTACAGAAACAGATAAGTTGTTCAGAGGCTGATGGTGACTGGGACAGATGAACTCTGTACCTGTTTGTCCTACACTGGTGTACAGTACACTGGGCCCATATGGAAGCAGTTTGTAATAGGAGTGCAGCGGAGGACAGGGGAGGACAGGGGAGGACAGGGGAGGACGGGTCTGTAAGGATTGACCTGACCTCAGTGCTGGTACTTAGGTCGTACTCAGTGTCTACAGCATTGTTTCCCAAAGACTGGGTCACCAGGTGGGTCGCATGTTTCCCTGGAGTTTATGAATAATGTCTGTTGACTTGAGTCATGAAAGTTTGTGACTTTTAAAATATGGGTCCCCAAAAAAAGTTTGGGAAACACTGGGTCCACAGTAATACCTGCTGTCATTCACCATGTGTTATTGCCTATTTTCCTTCAAACTTCTTCTATTGTCAGAGAGTCCAATAAAAATAATATAATGTTTACTGACGTGAAATGAGAATGTGAGAAGTTTTTCAATAGTGACCGTGGCATATTAGAGGTCTTTAATCTCTCTCTCTCTCTCCAATACCAATACCCTGTATAAATATACCTTGGTTTGTTACACTATACATTATAACACAAAGATTCATCTATACATATATATATATATATTCCTTCAGAAATGTCTAATCAACAGAGAAAAGAGTAGACTTCATGTTCAAAAACATGGAAAAAATATGAACAATCTGATACGTATACACACACACACACACACACACACACACACATACTGTTAGATGTTGAGTGGCTTCAGAGATAGAATAAAAGGTGATTTTTAATGACTCCTCTATTATAAAAGAGTGACAAGGCAGACATGAGTTCTCCAAAGATAGTAATTCCATTGACAAGCTGTAATGAAAGTGACTGTCCCCTCTACACACTGGCCTCCTCTTCAAAGAGCAGCAGCTCAGAGGAAGAACAGAGCCTTTATGTGCTGTGGCAACTGGGCAGGAGTTCAGTGGGAGGAGGAGTGGACTGCTTTCATTTACTCAACATTCTCCTCAATGACCTGCAATTATACTGACGCACACCAATATGTTTTATTTAGAACATCAACCATGAACACCAACCAGTGAAGTTCACTTATCTGTTGTTTTTTTTTTTAGGTGAAGGACTGGTTGCCATGTGCCAGACTTTTGCTAAAGGTTAGCAAAAGTAATAGAAATAGCTTTTGACCCACACTACTAGAACATAGCCAAACAACGCTAAACAGTAGGGGCACACATACTGTAGTTAAAACTAGCATAAATTAACTAAAACTACCTAGCTAATAACTAATGTTAGCTATAGCCAAAAGAAAGAACATGTGAAATTTAGCTAAACATTACCTTACTAGTAAGCAATATTAAGCTAAAACCATATTTTGCCAAACTACCAGAAAGCCCTAAATTGTCAAGTTGTAGCTAAAATGGTAACAGTTAGCTAAACATTAACCACAGTCAGCGTGAAACTAGCTAAAGGCAAGCGAACAAAAGACAAGAGTTAGCTTAAAATAGCCAGAATTAGCTCAAACTTGAAAAAACCATGATAAAGTAACAACTCGGTGTTAGCTGGGGAAAAAATCTGAATATGTCATTGATGAGATACTGTAGCTTGCTAATCAAACTAGTGAAACATTTTGGCTTGAAACTGCCTGCAGAAAGTAAAACCACATACTACAGTATATTACTTTAACAGTCAAGTACACAGTGTACAGTGAAGTTCTCCATGCTGCTGTCACCGCTCATGTTCATCTGCAGGCAGTTTTTTTTTTTATGATGATGTCCATTTTAAAAACGCTGACCTTTAAAGTAGTCATTATTCATGGCATTCTCTCCTCTCACTCTGTCATCCCAAAATAACTATGATCGCAGGTGACATTTCAAAACCAAAGTCGTTTTTCTGATACAAGACTGTAGCTAATTTGGGTTAAAATGCAAACAGGATCCTTCACACGCAAAGCTTCCAACTTCAGAAGACGAAGAAGAAGAAATGTGTTCTCACTTTAGTAATCATCAACCGTCCAGTTTGAATTGATTTGTGCTGAAGACTGAATAAAGCCAACAGATAGAGAGGCACAGATGAGAGTTTTTATTTGTCTGAATAAAACAACCTCCGCTATCTCACACCGAGGCCCTCAAAACCTCAATAACACGCGTTTTTATATTCTGGGCACAACTATTCTTACTCTGAAGACTCCATAATGCTCCCAGTAATTCAAATTAAAATGTTTGCTCTTGCTACTGAGGCGTGTTTAAGAAACTGTTCAGTCCCCCTCACATGTGAACAAACTCAAAAGTAAAATGGACCCAGACAATATCATCTAATCTCCCCCTCTGCCGCTCCGTCTCTCAGGGATGAGGCTGCCTGAAAATTGAAAGCCACTTGTTTTTCCAGTCCATCTCCCGACTGAAAAGACTGCCAACCTCTGTTCACTGCCAATGCACGCCTCTCAGCCCTTCTCTAACCTTTATTTGGCACACAGACAATAGCGAAATTACTCGGCACAGACCCCCTGCCCTCCCTAATTGCTACTCAACATCACTGCTTCTGAATTCTGCCATAGTGGTGATGCACCCGGTGGGCCATGCCTTTGTTGTGTGTCTCTCCTGAAGTGGAGAAGGACCCAAATATATTGAGTATTAAATAAAACAACACAACACTGTTTTTATGCCAGGGTTTTGTTTTTTGTTTTTTCAATGTTGAACAATGACGGCAAGGAATTTAATTTTCATCTTATGCGAGACCTTCGATCTGTGTATTTTAAATAAAACATATTTGGTGTACTGCATCATATACACCACACATCTGTAGACATGAATGACAAAATCTGGTCCACATCAGTCAGATTGTGTGTGTTGGACGTTTTGGGTCACCGTCATGTTTCAGTCTCCAGTTACACAGACATCTAATGTAGATCTAAAGCTCCAAACAGCCCTAAAGCAGGACTGCCACTATCATACTACATCATACTACATGGTTTTAGCTTTGAGAAGTTGAAGGGGGGTGCAATCCCAGCAGTCATTAGGTGATGTTGGCCACATGAAAAGACAAAAAAACCCTAATATTAAACAAAACATGTTTTACTCACACTAATCCTGGATGTTCTAGCCTGTGGTTACAAAATGCCTCTCTGTATCACCAACACTGTTCTACAGCCACACATAGATTAGCTCTGACCCTACCGTGTTTCTGACATGTCTATACTTGGCTTGCTACAGCTTCATACTATAGATGCATCTTTTAGCACGCTCCAGTGTGAACTCCAAGCTCAAGGGTTAATTGGTGGCAGCTGCTCGGCCGCTGCCATCAGACGGTGGCAGGATGTGGGCGAGCTGTTTAGCTCAGGACCCTGTGGGGCTGCTGAGTGACAGGAATGCTCTTTCTATGGTCACACAAACAGATGAGGCATTAAAACATGTTTTAAAGTGAAGGAGCAACAGTATATGTGAGACAATAATGTTGCCTTTAGAGTGTGAACATCTTCATAAACTGAGAAAGTGGATCAAAGTTCTCTTTTGGTTTTGGAGTTTACACCAAACACAGTTCATGTCTCAGAGACATTAAAAAAGCTGCAGGTAAAAGAAAATGATAACTGCTAGCTGGAACTTTGAGTCATGATGTAGCACAATGTACGACTAAAAGGATAATTCTACATGATGATCGAGATGAAACATTTTTAAATTTGTTATTCAATGACTTTAGGTGACTCATGGGCCAAAATGGGTCCTCATATTTGTTAGGGTTAGGGTTAGGTCATGGGCCAAAATGGGTCCTCATATTTGAAGGGGGGCCGGGTCAGGAGCAGATAGACGAAGCATTCGGATAAACTAAGATAAATGATATGTAAAAGTCATGCATTTTCTACACAATCTACTGGGGACGTGTAGGCATTGCAGGGATAATATGATATTAATAACATCATTTGTATAAGTCTGGCGGACCAGATTAAAAAGCCAAGCGGTCTGCATCCGGCCCCCGGGCCGTAGTTTGCCCATGGCTGCTTTATGTTATCCAGACATTGGCCAAAAATATACATCTAACTAATTACCTACTTATTACCTTACATAGGGAATTAAAGATAAAATAAAAGCATAAATAACTAAAGGTCTATTACAGTGAGGGTGATGAGCACATGTTGAAGAGGGAATAACACATGATGAAGAATCCGCCGCCTTAATTTTGCAGGGACATCTGGAATAACAGCAGCCGACACGAGGTGCTAATAACATGACAAAAAGCCGACTGCTGACTGCCGGAGGAGGTGTGAATGATGGTGAATGAAGTGAACGCGTCGGACGGTGGGTGGTTACAGCAGTTGCTGATATCAGCCAAACATTATCTGTCGGTCTGAAACACATACGCTCTCCCTGAGCTACACTGAGGACATTGGACAAGTGTAACATGGATTTACAAAGGTTACTTCAAGGATGAGTCTCATTTCTGTCCTTTAGACGCTCTCGCACGCGCCTTCCCTGAGAATTTCAATGACCTACATGAGCTGCGCCGTGTCCATTAAACACGATAAATGTCATCTGAACAGGAGGCACGATAAATAAAGGAGAAAAGCGAGAGGCATTTCTTAATGAAACATCTACATCCTGTAATAAACAGCCATGCTGTTCCACTAATGTGAATAACACTATGTTGTTCTGGTGCTGGCACACTTACAGCATCTTCACTGCTCCAACATCCTGTTCTGGTCTTTAGTAAGAAGGAGATAATTGGCTTTTTTTTTTCTCCCCCCAACACTCTCCGTCTCCACGGAGACCAGACATCTCGCTCGTACTAATCTGTGCCCTCCTCCTCCTCCTTCTCCCTCCTCCCCTCCCTCCTCCACTTCTCCTCACCTCCATCACCACAGCACTCCATAACCAGTAATGTACATCAGAGTTGACTGATTTAGAATAGATGATAATAGGTCCATGAGCGTGTGCACAAGTGTGTGTGTGCGTGTGTGTGTCCAATCAGTCAAGCCTGAATATGTGTCACTGTGCCAACCTGGAGCTGGTGGAGGCTAAAGCTGTGTGGGTGACTGGATGTGAACTGCCTCTGGTTATGGAAGCTGATCCAAGGTTAAAGAACCAATCAATGATAGGGGGAAGTGATGAGCAGGTAAATGATGTTACAGTGCCCCCGGGGTAAAAGTGTCCTTTTAATGTGACTTTTTCTCCCTTAGGTCATAATGTGAATACATACAAATGATCAGAGTTGACTCTTGACTGAAAATAAAGGCAGCCTTTTGGTGCAGCAGCAGCAGCATCTCTGTGATATTCATCATAAAGACTTTTCAGAATGGAACACTGTTGTCTTTTGTCATTTGTGGCACTTCCACAGTGAAACACAGCTGCAGTTATTTTCAGTTAAGCTGCACCGTTGACGATGACGGGAAACTGTTCACACCCACACAACCTGATTTCTGGCATCAAAGCTGGTTCCCTGTCATGTACCACAAGATTTGGAGCGATCAAAATCATTTCATGATTGCATAGTGTCAAACACGTCCATCCTGCCACCAACGTGTGTGCCAAGTTTTGCACGTCAAAGACAAAGACTTTTGCATACACTACAGGGTCTGGTCAACTAAAAAAAAAAAAAAAAAAAATCAAATCCCAGCTCTCAGTTTGGGAAATGCAAAAAAAAACCTGTACCCAGTGCTTTAAACCAGAGGAGAAGTAAAAGGCCATTTTCAGTATCTTTCTTTAAAATGAACTGGAACTGAACTTCTCTGGAGGCGTCTTTAAAGCAGTAAAATGAACAACAATGACTTGTGTGCTATAAACTACATTTTATGGTATTTTATGCCAGGTTGAAGAACTTGGACCATAAATATAATATTCAAGGGTAAGTCTAACAGTTCCCAGACTGACGTTATAATCTCAGCTGTCAGAATTTTATAACTAGTCCATCACATTTTCTACCTAAAAGTGAATGAAAACTGTTGCAGGAGTTGTTCATTCAATTACACAGAGTACATAATGGGTCTTGCAGAAATTGTGTGAAAATGTTTGTTGCCACAATTCCATAGTGGAAAATAGAGAGTGTTATTACAGAAAAAGATGCACAGACCACCATCATGAACACCCCCTCCAACACTCAGACCTCCAGCCTCTGCGTCTCTCAATAACCTATAGCAGCGAGTTAATGACTTCTGCCTCCAACAGAAGAGGTCACCCTGTCTCTCATAAAAGCAGCAAACAAGTCAGACCTGCGAACGGCTTTGACGTTCAAGAGCATCAACAATCATCTGGGTTTCTCCCCCCCCCCTCCCTCTAGTCGATAACAGAACCTTTCTGCACAAAACGGTCCTGTTGTGTAAGTGCTAAGATGAGCCAAAGGATCACCAGTAATACAGCACGAGCAAGCTAAGCTAAGCTAAAGATTTAAATAAAGATGGGACAAAACCAAAAATAAGATAGTCACAAGACCAGATCAGACCAGACTACAAACTGAGCACAATTTGTCATTGTCATTCATCCTGGTATCCATTATGGGGCTAAAGAACAATGAGGGACACAAGGACAAAAACATAACCCATGACGGTATGTCCTATTTCGTCACAGAGACGGCATTACTGGAGCTACCGGCCTTTGTTTTATATTTAGACCTCTGATTATTAAACAAAAGACCCATAAGCTCCAGCTGGAGAGACATATTGTGACATATTTGGAGATGCATTACATTACTAATGAGAGGACAACAAAGGTTGAGGTGAAAGTCCTCTGCTCCTCTTGTTCCTTGGATGTGGAGAAACACGGCTCCTACGTTCTTACCTGTGCAGCCTGTCTTCCAACAGCTCAATGTACTTGGTTGTGTTCTCTTTCAGTCGGCTCTCTGTACAAAGAGAAAAGCACACAGAGAACAAGAGGCTGTTACTTTCATGTCATTTGCCACTTTTATTAGCCGCGATGCTAGTATCCTAGCAACAAATCATAGCTTCAATGCCATTAGGACTGATTCCACATTAACGAACTTGAACTTGTTAGAGAAGGTAGTCATCACCGTTGGCAGTGTGCATTGTGGTGTGGAACTGAGAGAACAGTGTTCAGTACAAAGGCCCAGCTGGTTCTGTCTTATGACAAAGACCTGTGTGACAAAAGATCACTGCCTGTGCCCTATGAGAGGACATATAAATGGAGACAGCTTGAGGACAAAGGGAGATTCTGTGATGTCATTGGTCCTGTTCAGGTGCCTGGTTTTCTGTAGGGCAGAATGTTGGAGGGCGAGCTGGTGTTGCCTGAATTGCCCTTCCACCAGTTGTGATCGGTGCCAAAGAAATGCCAGTGCAGACCAACTGCTGAGCACTAGTGGAGATAAAGATGAATTCAAACTGAGCATACTTAACCATCTCATGTATGAAACATGGAGATGTTCAGCCCCCAGCATCAGCAGCAACAGCAGCAACGGCGGCAACAGCAGCAGCAACATGTCAAGAGCAGTTCTTTCAACACAAAAGGATGTTCTATCTTTCTATCTAATGGCATATACAGTACATGCTCACAGACACACTAAATGCTCTATTCAGATTCAGCTAGTCTGGAACAGTGCTTGAAGTAAATGGGAGATGAACTTTTCAAATTTGTAATAGAGCGGAATGACCATAAAAATATTCAAAGGACGGACGCAGCAGTTATTAGCCTATCACTGACAAACTCCTCATGCTGGTCAGGACTGATGCTTCTACGACACAGGTGCACATTGACAAAAAATAATATTATGTGAGACCTTTAAAATATTTTACCTAACAAACTCAACTACCTTCCTTTGTAATATTTCTATTGTCAAAATAACCTTTATTTATATACATTGAAGCAATGAACTGGTAAGTTAATGTACTGCAGGACTGGCGATTATTTACAAAATATTGCTGTTGCAGGGACAGTGTAATGTTTTGGTTTTTTTTACTATTTTGGTAAAGGACAGATTTAACCAACATAAATGGGATCTGTAGCCACTTAGCTTAGCAAAGTATGACCTGAGGATCTGCTGTCAATAGCAGTTAAATCATAGCATACCCTACATCTTAAAATAATGTGACTTGATTTTCAACTTTCAGGATAATAGTCGCTGAGGTGTTTCCCAAACAGTCAATTTAATAATCTAACACAGATTATAAAAGAACTTCATGTGGATTTTTTAAAATTATTTTAGTGGAAAAAGAGCCAAAAATAGTTTGGAAACTACTACAGCGTAATGCAATTTAACTCACTCACCCCGGCTCTGGCTTCCACGCAGAGAAAGTTCTCTAATTGGCTGCTCTGAATCTTAGCGAGGTTTGAAATATAATTTACCCATTGTCTGGGTGGTGTTTTTAGACTGCATTAGCCTCAGGATGAGACAGGCTGGAGGCTGGCACAGCAGGGAGTCTATGAACGTTTCTTAGGAAAAGTGGTTTTGACAAGCACAGAGGGAAAGTGAGAGAAGAGAGAAAGAGACAACTGAATAGAAAATAAAGTAAGCACTCCTCTGTATACTGCCGACTGTTAGAGAATACAAAAAGGATTTTTACTTCTTTCTTCGCAGCAGAATGCATTTGTTATTTTATAACTTCTTTTTTCAGCTAAGCGACAGAAACTTGACAAAAAAGGCAACACTACAGGTCCTGTTATTCCAAAGCTATTTTTGATAGACTTTGCTGCTGGTAAAATCTGCACCAGACTATTAAAACCAGTCTGTTAGTGTGTTCTCCAAAATTCCGTAAAAGGTTGTGTGGTAGCTTGGTTTTTAAAATGAAAGGAACAATATCAACAATAAAACCTTCCCTACCCTGTAGAGGGTGCTATCAGTTCTGTTTTAATGCCTTGTTCCAAGAGTAAATTATCTAGTTTTGGAGAGTACGAATTTCATGCTTGATATGAAATAAGTGCACCTACAGACAGACATGTGTGAATGATTTTTAGGTATAGTCAAAAATAGCTT